AAAAAAAAAAAAGAAAGTGTCAAACTCAACAGATTTTAATAAAGAAGAATAGTTTTCTCCAATTGTGTTTTGAAATGAGTATTGATCAAAAATTCAGAAGTATAGAAAAAGTTTAATTTAAAATAAAATTAATGCAATAATGGCCAACAGAAGGAATTCTGATACCATGGTAGGTGTTTATATAAAGTCACTAAATGTATTAACATATCAGATGAATGCAAAATTACTGGGAGATATGTTATCTGAATCAATTCTTCTCAAGAAAATAGTATAATTTAAAATAACTGAAAGAAATGTAGTAAATGAAGAAACTTTCATTTGCGGGTTTGAGAAGCTTTTCAGAAGTTACCTGGTGAAGTCTTTTCCGACATAGAAATCCCCTTTATCACTGTAAAGGCTCTGCAGTGGTTGTTGGCTTGTCTGCAGCCCAATGGTGCCCTGGTGCCTCTGCTGAGGCACTTTCATCACAACTCACTTTAGAAGTTACCAAGTCTAAGGCAGTGGTGTTGAGGATTAGCTTTGGAAATCCTGCCCAGAAAGGTTAGTAGTTGGCAGTCTAGTCACAGACCTGGACTCTGATTGTTTTACCTCTCTTGCTCATTAGTGTTAATATGCTTACTTTTCTTTATCTTAAATGTTTATATACCCTAGCTGAGAGGGAGGAAGTGTTTTTTTTAATTGTTTAGTCATTCACACATTTTACTCATCCCAAAATTTCACACAAGTGATCTATAGACTGAATTTCCCAGAGAATAGAAGGAAGGGCACTTGTTCCTGGAAGATAGAAGAGGTTGTGTTTTCAGTTAGAGGACAAATTCTTTGTACCTTGATGTTAGCCATAATAGGTGATGGTTTGAAGTGTTCCCTTCAAACCAAACCCAGTTTGGGGAGCATTCCAGAACCCATTTTCTCTACAAATGATCCTGTGCTAGCTACTTCACTTCCTCTCTAGAAATCTTCAAGACTTGTACGTTGACCCCTACCTTTTAAAGTTGTTGTTGTTGTCTTTTCCTTAGTAAATATTTGAAAGGGATGTTGATTAGCCTAACATAAATTTATGGTTAAGGGGTTGGGAAGGTGGCTCAGTGGTAGAGCGCATGCCTTGCATGCCAGAGTCCCTGGGTTTGATTCCTCAGCACCACATAAGCAAAAAGAAAAAAGCCGGAAGTGGCGCTATGGCTCAAATGGTAGAGCCCTAGACTTGAGCTGAAGAGCTGAGGGACAGCGCCCAGGCCCAGAGTTCAGGCCCCATGACCGGACCCAAAACACAAAAAATATATTTATGGTTGATTTTTGTGAGGATTTTTTAGTTCTCCACATCTTATGCTGACCTCTGAATCTTCTTATTCCCTTCAGTATTATTTGTAACATTTATTCTCATCAGTTCTGGTTATAATTTTACTTTTGTGTTCCTTGTTATCTGACTTCCTTTCCTTTTCAGTGTTTTTTTTAATTGTTTAGTCATTCACACATTTTACTCATCCCAAAATTTCACACAAGTCAACTATATGATACGCAAGAAGATAGGAAAATGATGAGTAGAGTGTGCATATCACACACTTGGGACATTTTGGATTTCAAGTGCCCTGAGGGCCAGGACCAGATCTCACTTTGCTTTGTGTTCCACTTCCAAAAATTATCCTCCCTTTGTGGATATAAGTGGTGTTTCTAGCATACCCTTTTGACATGTAATAACAGACTTAGTGATTGAATGATGCTAATATCAAATATAGTAAAAGCACAAATATTTTTATTCATTCATACTCATTCATTTTCATTCCCCAAATTCATTTCTGGCTCAGTTATCAGTTGCCTTTGACATTTGTGGGTTATTTGAGGCCACTAAGAGGTGACATTGAGTTCTGCCAGTTTGTTTCTAGAATTGATTCAGAGACCTTACATTGATTTTTGTTTTTAGCAACCATGGTTTCTCATTCCTATTTGAATTGGCCTGCCGAAATTCTTGCTGGGTCAAGTAAAGAAGCCTCTTTGTTGTGCTTTGCAAACTTACACTAGGACAAGTTTTTTGTGTTGTATAATGCCTGGAAAAAGAAAACCTTTCATTTTATTGAGAAGTAAAAAATAAAGGCCTCCCAACCACCTGGAGATGTTTTTGTGGCAGCATACCACTCTGGTTTCCTTTTCTTGCCTCGCAGTTGACACTCAGACTTTCCTCTTTATACTTATTAGAACAAGGCCCGGGCTGGGGAGGAGGGGGCTGGGGAGGTAACTGGGTAGGCTATTCTCATTGCTTCTTTGTGGGCAGTTGGCATTCTCTGAACTATTTGAGCTGTTTCTCCTCTGTTCTTGTGGACTTTACTCCAGGAATGTACTGAAAGCACACTCAGTGCTTTCTTGGCAGCTATTGCTAAAGTTTTCACTCAGTCTATCCATGGTAGATAAAGTAAAACAGAAAAAAAGGTGTATAGTGCTCATTGTGTTAACTAGCTACCCTCCATTGGATTCTCTTGTTTGCTGGTAGTTCCCATAAAGAGG